TTCTCCTCTTGTGACAACCAAAACCATGGCCGAACTTTTATTATAATTAAGAGTAGGGTGTGTTTCTCATCGGGGATTTGTCAAACACATGATAGCCATTCACAAGCAAATTAACAAACCCAAGAAATTTAGAACCCATTTAACTAATCAACCAAAGCAAATAAATATCAACACAACAAAATACAATACATTACACTACAAACAAGAATTTTAATTAAATCAAGCACCCAAGCATTATACACAAGAATGAAAGCTATGCATGTGATATTGAAGTAGATATAAGTAAATTGAGATGATTAAAACCCACCTTCGGAAGAGTAACTGTCAGCTTGTTCGGAGCTGAGGTGGAGAACAATGCATTTTAGAAGGAAACTAAAAGAGGTTATAGTATTGAGTTCTGCCATTCATCGCCTCTTTTGATTGAAAAGAAAAGTATATTGGTGAATCTAAAATACAGGAAACTCAATACATTTTTGTATGAACTCTATTCATCATTATATCAAATAGTATTTTTTGACATTTATCACTGTATTATATTTAGTTCTATACTTTACAGTGTGTGTGGCTTGTCTAAATACAATATCCCGTCTTGCAAGCCCACCCCAGACAAGCCACAATACCCTCATCAAGCAAGGCCACTAATGACCCACCAAGCCCATAGGATTAATGATTCACCACAGCGTATTGTGTACGGTATAAGGATTGTTCATCTTCAGAGGGTGCTGTAACCCACAGGATATAGATGTTCAAGTTCAGAATCTAAAAATTATCAAGTCAATTAAGGAATTTACGTTATGTTAAAATTAGCAGTAAAAATATTAAACTACTGAAATAGAAATGATTTGGGAATATCATAATTAAACTTTTGATACATAAGAGGGGTTGAATATGCTTGCATGTAACACCTTGGGTGACTTAGTGTTAACTATGACTCTTGGTGTATTATTCAAGAGATTTTGAGTTCGATCCATCTATCTGTCACTTCAAGGTTTCATGAGATTAGTTGGAATGCTCACAAGCTAACTCGGACACCCCCGGTCGCAAAAAATAAATAAATAAATAAAATAAAATATACTTGCATATAGCTGCGCATTATTAACATTTTTCTACCAAGAGGGTTTTTAGAGATGAAGGAAGTTGGCCTCTTACAATGATATTTGAGAAGAAACAAACCATCTACTTTTAAGCACTGAATGTGTGCACTGTTGTGCAAGAAGTTAGAGTTTCTATATTGTATTTATAATGTTAACTTTCTTGTAGGATAATGATTTGTTGAGATTCTAATAAGTAACCTCTTCTGTTTTTTTAATTAACTATTCAGATTAAGAAGAAATAATGAAAAGAAAACATTATCACTGGTTGAACTACTATGTTTCAGCTCAAAGCTCAACGTGTTTAGAAAAAATAGTTTTGTGTTTAAGCTGGCCCGAACACCTCGGTTACCAAAAATAAAAAATAAAAAAAGGATAGTTCATGAACTTATATATCTCAGCACTCCAGCTTAGCTTGTGTTGATTATAAAGAAGTTAAAAGAACAGTAATACTACGTTTACCGAGTAAATTACCGATTTCACATACCGATGCACTTGCCCAATTCTCAAAATCTCAAATTTTAACTTAATCATTATGTCAAATCGGTACCTTTATCGGTAACTCAAGCATTATTGTAAAGAATTTATGTAAGGCTATTAGTATCTTTGTAAAGTCCAGCTTGTCTCTATGCTTATTATTAATAGTTTACTACTATCCTTTAGAGGTTTACATAAGCTTTTTGCAAACCATCAAACCTCTCTTTGAGACAGTGAGATTTTTAATAATTATTTGAGGTTTTTTTTTTTTTTTTTTTAATGATTCCCATAATTATTTGAGACCTTTTTTTTTTTTTTTTTTAGGTTTCCAATACATGTAACTATATTGTTAAAATGTTAATTATATGAGAAAGATAATAATGAGTGAAATATTGAATTAAATAAAAAGTATATTATTATATATTCTAAACCAATATAATTATGATAATTTAACATATTATTATCCTATGAATAACAAATGAAATATTTATTTTGGTCAAGAAGAAGATGAAAGAAAGACATGTATAAGAGTCATTAATTTTGAACATAAGGGGCACGCACCCTCTGTTGTCAATTCATTGGATAAGGATACATATTTCACATTATTATATGGTTAATGTTTTAATTTTCTTTTATCCAATTGTAATGTCAAGGTTGGAACTTGTAGAATTTGCCTCTAATACTATGTTAAATTGTCATCTCACCACAAAACTTGAGTTAATAAGTGATGGCTCAACATTATATTGGTCTAATAATTTCCAATTTTTTAATGGTGGCATGAATCACTTTTGCAATAAAATCTTTATCTTTTCATTACTGTGATAACTTTTCAATAGTATGTCGTTTGACTTTATTTTTATTTCATTTTTTAAATGTCATTTATCTCATGCATTTTTTTTTTTTTTTTTTTTTACACTTTATTGTATTTAAGGGATAAAATTCATTACATCTCCGTAGGTAATCTTTTTACGCAAATTTTTTCTTGTTCTGTTGAAGTTTAAAAACTAAATAAACCTATGAATATGATTAGTCAAAAAGTAAGATGAACATTTATTTTCATCAACAATATTTAATTTATGTTTTTAATTTTTATTTAAAATTTATGTTAGATATTTAAAATTTAGGTTAAAGTATATTTAAAATTTCTTTTAAAGTTTATTAACTTTACCATGTAAAAATTATGTGTAGAAAATATATAGTTTTGTAATATTATTTAATTTCTGTAAAAAAAATATTATTTAGTATTAATTTTAATAAAATACTTTTATAAGAATCTTAAATATATTAAATTTATCCCCCTATTTGCTTCACTCTTTTCAATCATTTTTCTGTTATCCTATTTGGATTAAAAAACAGAATAGGTGTCTGTTTATTTATTGAGATGATTATTTTGAAAATCAATCTGAATCAAATAAGATTTTTCCTACTGAAAATGAAAAGTGTGTAGGACTTTTTTTCTATTATCCTTTCAAAACATTTTTTCAACTCTATTTAACTGAAAACAATTACATTTTACGATAAAAGTTTATAAATTAACAAAAACACCCCAACCCACCCAAGCCATTATCGATCGCCAACAACCACTACTGGCAGTTACCACTACTGCAACTGATCGTTAGTGCCGATCTGGCTATTACAGGCCAGATTCACCATGGATCTGGTCGAAAACAGCTAGATCTATAGGCATAGCTTCGTGGTCATTGACGACGGCCATATTTTGATTGTTAACGATGGCAAAAAATCTGGTTGTTAATGACGGCTAGATTTTGGCCATAGATCTAGCTGTTTCTGACCAGATCCATAGTAGATCAAGCTGGAAAAGGTCAGATCAGTGCATGATCAGCCAGATCTAGCAGGTAGTGTGCCATTCCGCAATTGCCACTTGCCGTCTGACAATGATGACTAGCTGGTAGCAACTTTTGGTGGGTAGCGGTGTTTTTGTTAATTTATAAACTTTTATTGAGTTCGGGGGCTGTTTAGCTAAATTAACAAATATAAAGGGTTAAAAATAATATAAATATTTTCAAACTTTCAATGGGTAAAGGTCTTTATGGATACTTTTAGGAGATTTAAAAATGACAGACAAAGTGTTATATTTTGTTAAGGAAACAATGAAAGAAAAGCTTATATATGGTTAATTAGCATATTATAAGAACACATTCTCACTATCCTTACAAATCTTTGATCTCTTCAATGGTGGCATAAGTTTCCTATAGCAAATAAAGTTTTTATTTCTACATTTTATGGTAATTTTTTAATTTATTGTTTTACATAATTTTTGGATTTTATTTTACACGTTATGTATCTTATGATTTTTTCTTTAAATTATTGTATTTAGTTTTTCTAAGATATACAGCTCATTAAATTATTGAACTTTACATGTCAAGTATCTCCTTAAATCTTTTACTTAATTTTTGGATTTTATTTTACATGTATCGTAGGCAGTAAATAATGAAGAAGGGGGTTAAAGTGTGAAGTTTAAGGAATAATGGGGTCCAAGTGGTTGGTGACCACATGTGAATATGCAACCCTGCACTTGGAAGAAGTAGAAAAATGAATAAATATAGTGATAATTTGATTCTTCGCCGCCGTAGTAAATAGGAGAGAAAATCGAATTTCTTTCTTCGTTTTTACAATTTTGTTTTACAATTTACAAAAGACAAAAAATAGGAGTTAATTAATATTTTACTATTTTTTATATTTTAGAGTTCTAACTATTAGTTAGTTATGGGCTATGGGCGAACGACGGGAATTGAACCCGCGCATGGTGGATTCACAATCCACTGCCTTGATCCACTTGGCTACATCCGCCCCTCTTAAAAAATTACAAAAAATCCAATTTCTACTAATAATTTTTTATCATTATCCATTTTTAATGGTACCTTTATACCCACAACGGTCGGCCATACTATTGCTATCAATAGATTAAAAAAAAAAAACTGGAGATTGGAGGATAGAGGGTGACAATTGTATTGGAAAGAGAAATTATATATTAAAAAAATAGTATGATCTGACATAAAAAAGGTAATACATACAAAATATTAGATCTTGTGTGATTTAAACTATATAGAGAAAGATCTCTTTGTAAAAGTTATCAAATAATTGAAGGAGCAGGTTGATAATTATTCAAATTATTGTTCATCCATCTAACATTAGCCATTCACGGTCTAGTTTAGTGAGATTAAATTATATATTCATGATTTTCTTTGCATTTTTTATGCAAACAAATCATTCATGGTTGAATTCACATTAAACATGCAAAATAAATTATACAGAACGCATAAAATTAAATGCTAAAATTACATAGTGACTGTCGGTAGTACCATCTATAAATATAAGTTACCAAATTAGAAGATATTATATTTCTTATATACTATTTAATATAATTCAGGTACGACACTTCTCTTTCTTTCTCTTTTTCTTCTTTCATAAACTCTCAATTCTGGCCATAAATCTAACGCCACCGATTTCATCAATCTCTAATGTCCATACCCAGTTATCTAAAACCTATCAATATTCTCTAATGTATAAATATATATACGGTCCGTTCATTTTCATTTATCCAGTCATAAGTATAACGTTAAAAAAATGTTACAATATCTCTTATCACCTTAGTGTTATATATATTTCTGGGAGCTGCATAAGGTAACTAATTAATTAGAGAAATGTATTTTCTTATTGCAGAAATGGAATCCCAACTGCCTGCTACGTCCAAACCGTCAAATGAAGAAGAAACCTGCCCTAAAACCCCAGAAACATACAGGAAAATCATTTCAACTCTTCCCAGAGAAGATGGCTGGAAGGCTCACGGCGATCTTTGCCTATACCAAAACTTTTGGTGCTATTCCTATGGAATAGAAGGTGCCATGTTTGCTCAAGATCACTACAACGCTCAACCCACCGATATTTTTCTTTGCAGCTTTCCGAAAAGTGGCACCACTTGGCTCAAGGCCCTCACCTTCTCCGTTGTAACTCGAACTCATTTCGACAATTCCACAACCCCATTGCTCTTAAAGGGTCCCCATAATTGCCTTCCCTTATTGGAGATCGATTTTTGCAGGAAAGGAATAAAGCCAGAGCCGGGATCTCTTCCACTTGTGGCCTCCCATTTGCCGTACGCTTCGTTGCCGAAATCTATAAATGATTCAGGGTGTAAGATTGTTTACATTTGCAGAGAACCAAAGGATGCGTTTGTTTCTATGTGGCACTATACACGCAAGTTACCTCATGGAGTTCAGGAACCGATGTCTTTGGAAGAGGCTTTTGAGTTATTTTGCAAAGGAGTTTCTGATTTTGGCCCTTATTGGGATCATGTATTAGGGTTCTGGAAAGCAAGCTTGGAACGACCTGAGAAAATATTGTTCTTGAAATATGAAGATATGATGAGGGAGACGTTGTTGTATGTGAAGAGGATGGCGGAGTTCATGGGATTTCCTTTCTCCTTAGAGGAAGAGAACAAAGGGAAAGTAAGGAGTATAGTTGAGTTTTGTAGTTTTGAGAATTTGAGCAATTTGGAGATTAATAAGAGTGGAAAATATGCTCCACATATTCCCGTTGAGAACAAAACATTCTTTCGGAAAGGTAAAGTTGGAGATTGGAAAAACTATCTTACGCGTGAAATGGCTGAGCATTTGGATGAAATAACAGAGCAGAAATTGGGTAGATTTGACTTATCATTTGATGATGTATAAGCGTAGACAATATTCTTGTAATAAAGGAAAATAAAAATGTCGTGTTCTGTAAGGATTTGTTCGATTTACATATGTGGGTACTCTCTTCACATTTTCAATTTATTTGTTGGAAGTTCAAGTTTGTATTGTGTTTTTTCTTCTCCCTTTGATTTCCTCCTCTCCTTTTTATATTTCTTTCCTTCGTGGTTTTTCTCTGCCCTTTCTCTATTCTTTTTTTTTTTTCTCTCTTTCTCTCTCCTTCGCCTCATTTCCACGAGAAAAACTTACATGAGACAATCTTATCACCTCATCTTGATGATGTGACGAGACCGTATAATGAAATGGTGATATATAGAATTAGTTTTCATAACCATCATGGTGGCTGTAATTGATGAATCGGTTAAAGTAGTTACTGATCAGTGATACTAATAGGTGGATAAAAGAAAAAATTTGGCATAAATGTGACAATATATACCACTATTTCATTATATAATCTCAACATCTCATCTAAATGAGGTGGCAAGATGTTCTATAAGTATTTTTACATCTCCACCTCCTTATTTATGTTGATTATAAACTTGGGCCTTTAGTCCATCAAATTCTTTTCATTAGTGTGTGGGCTTTAAGCCTTTAGAAAAGGATTCTATGCCCTTTTAGTTGGCCACCAACTCCATAACTCTTAAAACAAAAAAATTTACATAAAAGTATTCCTATTCTTTGATATATTTAAACATGCGTTGATCTTGGCCCAAAATTATAGTTTTTGGTGGCACAACTGCACAAGGCGGTCAAAGTTTTGAATTTCGAAACTGAACTGCTTCTTACGGCAAATATAGAAGTCATTTGTTGATGATTTTTTTTATAATTCCCATGTGACTTTGATGGTTGAATAGATTTAATGTTCTGCACATTTTCATATAAATGGTGTTGTTTGATGTATACGAACCGAGCCGAGTTAAGTATCTCAGTACTTGAGCTCGGCTCGTGATGAACAATAGCAAGCTTGAGCTCGAGCCGAGCTCAATCGAGCTTTAATATTCCTGTTCGAGCTCGAGCTCGTGAGTCTGGAATGGTACTTGAGCTCGAACTCGAGCTCACTCAAAACCGAGCTCAATAATTTATTATATTTTCTCTTTCTTCCCGCATTTTCTCTTTCTTCTTTTCACCTATCAATGTCATCTCATTTTATTTTATTTTTTCTCTTTCTCCCCTCATTTTCTCTTTCTTCTTTTCACCTATCACCTCATTTTGTCACCTCAACTTTTTTTTTCTCTCTCTTTCTCCCCGTCTCTTCTCTTCTCTTTCCTTACTTCTCCAGATTTTCTCCTTCATATTTTTATTTTTTTCGTTCTCCCCATTCTCTTCTCTTTCTTCTTTACTTCTTCCATATTCTCTTCTCTATTCTCACCTGCTCTTCTCTTTCTTCTTTTGCTCCTTTAGATTTTCTCCTTCATTATTTTTCCTTCACATTCTAAGCTCAAATGGAACCGAGGATGAATAAAGGTGAAAGAGATGAGTTTTTGTTTGAGCTTTGAAATGGGTTTTGAGTTTTTGTCTGTGAATGGGTCATGGGTGTTGTTTGTAATTTTGATAACTTAAAAATAAAACTTTTAAAATCTTACAAATTGGCCCCCAAGCTCATTTAAGCTCGCGAGCTCGACGAGCTGAGCTCAGCTCGGATCGAACTCCACTTGTTACTTTTCACGAGCTCCTCGAACTCGAGCTTGACTCGACTGATTTCGAGTCGAACTCGAGCTTACGACGAGCCGAGCTCGAGTAGCTCGCGAGCTACTTGGCTCATGTCTCACCCTTAACTCCGACAATGGTCGCTGATGACAATCAATGGATGGTGTGGACTTTTTTTTTTTTTATTTTATTAAATCATTAATTCAAATAATCATAAATTTATTTATAAAATAATTTTATAGGTAAAAAGTTATCATTACGTATATGTTAATTAAATTATATTAAAAGAAAAAAGAAAAATGGGTAATCAGGGTACACTTGGTTCATTATTGCTTTTTAGACTAATATTTTGAAAAAAAATAAAATTAGGTGGTTATTACGATATAGGATTTGGAAATTAACAAAAATACTCTCCTAGGTTTGTTTATTTACTAAACACCCTTGTAATAAAACATTGACAATTAATAAAAACACCGCCACCTACCTATTAAATACTGACAACCGGTCACCACCGCCAGAGGATGGCCGGAGTCGTCGTATCGGCACACGATCGATTGGATCTGGTCGGTCATACACTGATAAGTCATACGCTGATTTGACTTTTTTCGGTCAGATCCACAGTGGATCTAATAAAAAAACACATAAACATAATATAATATACAAATAATACAAAAAACATAAATCTAAAAACATTAAGGAGGAGAAAGAAGATAAAAGAAGAGAAAGAAAGAAGTGAAGTAATTGAAAGAGAAGGGAAACTTATGCTGCTTCGTGCGGTTAATTCAACTCCAAGGGAAGTGGAAAAGCGATTCCATATATATGGATTTTTTTTATATTTTTGAAGAAACATCATGTGAGACGAAAGAGACCAATTTATGGGAGAGAAAAAGACCAATTCACCTCTGCAACTTGTTAACTTACTCTATTAACCAACAAAATTTATGTAGTTTATTTTTGAATTTAATTATTGAATTGGGTAATTTAGAAATTTAACTAACCACCATTGAGCACATTTTAAGCCACATGAATCATAAATAGTTTTTAAAAAAATGTCAAACATTTTTCACACGACAAGTTTGCATTTTAAAAAAGGGTAATTTTGTATTTAATTTGAGTTTGTTGGTTATGATTGTAGAGATAGACATTTTCCCCATATCGTTGGTAATTTTTCCCTGTATAATCCCCGTGATCGGAGTTGGGCAAGACCGGGACGGGGAATGGGATCCTTGGCCCCGCCTCACCCTGCGCCCATCTCTATTTGTAACCAACAAACTCAAATACATAAACCGAAGTTTTAGTATATATGATCACCGCTAGGCCCTCACTAAAGAAGACTATATCAACATATATGCTAATCACATTAATCAATCCACAGACTCACAAGAGAGATAAAGAAGGAGAACCTGGAGCCAAAGTTTCAGCATCATAACTGCCAAGTCGCTGCCGTAATTCTCAACCAGTTTGAAGCAATTATCAAAAGAGAAATCAATTGCCGAGGAAGTGCTTTGTTCTGGTAGCGATAGTCTTTCAAGTGAAGTACAATCCTCTGCGTCACGATAAACTATTGCTTGTGGAAGCTCTGGCAATAATTGAAGCTTCTTGCATCTTTGCAAGCAAAGCCATTTAAGTTTCATAAGTTGATTGATGCTTCGAGGTAAGGTATCAAAGTTGTTTCCGCTTAAATTTAGATCTACCAACGAGCATAAGGAGCCAATATCATTGGGGATCGCTCCATGCAAAAGATTACAGTCATTAAGATCTAAACTTCTGAGAGTAATTAAAACTGAGAGAGGTGGCAACAACAAACACATGGAATCTGGATTTTTGTTCGGTAACAACAATGACAAGAAGAAAGTGCACCCGGTTTGGGCTCGTTGTCCATTACATCCATGAAGAGAGAGTTTTTCGAGCTTTTCCAATTGTACTATGGAGAATGGTACTCGTCTTATTGCTTCCCCTATGTTTTCAGGCAGCTTGTCTAATTTTAAGCAGCCAGAGAGATTAAGAATCTTGAGAGACTTCAAACCATGGATATCGCTTGGAAAACTCGAAAGATTTCTACAATCCTTCAAGACAAATACAGTTAGCTTTGTGAGAACTGCAACAGATGGGTGAACCTAACGCAATTTCGTGCAGCCTTCAAGATATAGCCCCTCAAGATTTGGAACCCCAGTAAAGTCTGGAGTTGTTATCAGGTTGCAGGAGTGACTGAGAGTAATGGTTTTCAACTTAAAAAAGGACTGTAAGAAACAGAATAAAGTTAAGAAATAACTTGCTTGCAAGTACTATATCCATGGCCATGGATGACATATGAGCAGTAAATAAATGGAATGTTATTAAATGCTGAATATTGATAACAATTATATTCTGAAAACGGATATTAATATAAGATAGTTTAATTTGATGCTTATCTCGAATAATAAAAGTGTTATATATATATAACAATGGGTTTGGGTTTATTGTGAGTATATTAGACTAGTACAATTATGCTTTATTTTAGTATTTGACTCACATCTGGGGATGCAACCAAGATGTACCGAAACACATAAATTGGGTGTCCTTCTATGTGTGAGATTGTCGTATTATCTTCTTTATTTAATTTCAACCATATATCATCTTCAAGCTCCATATGATCATCATAATGAAATTGATCTTTTCATCAATGTTAGCTCAATATGGAAAAGATTCTTCCTTTTCATATTACGGCTTTAGAATAAAATGATGATTTTAACCTTCTCCACTTGGCAAATATTAAACGGAGTAAATGATTAAAATTTAAAACGACAAGGTTACCCACTTGATTAAAATTCTCCCTCCAAAATTTACCATTAACGACACGTGACAAACACTTGATCATAAATGTTAGGTAAAAGTGGTGTTGGAATGAAAGAGAGTAAGAGAAGAACAAAGATGATGGAAATGGTGGCACCCCCACAAAACCTTACCCTGGTTTATTTTCCTAGGTGATGCACCCCACCATGAAAGATGATTAAACAAAAAGTACTTATCTTCTCGCATAAAAACACAAATTAATCGATTCGATTACGATTCAATTATTTGGGTTTGCCATTACAAAAATAGTTCAAATGAAATGTCTGATTTATGACTAAATTCAACTCGTTAAATGTGAAAGCAACTACCAATCTGGTTGAAATTATTGACAAAATGTCAGGAAATTTCTTAGAAAGATATTATGTTAACTAGTTACTTTAATACTCTAAATAATCAAACAATTCAAATTGGTAATAAATTAGACCCTTAACTAATTTTATAATATCAAGAATGATTGATAAATATCAAAATCAAACTAAAGTGATGGTGGACCATAATATGCAAGCCTTGGTCAAGTTAATACGAGAATTCAACAACTTCATCAACAAATTAACTTTGCCGAAATTACAGATTTATTGCAAGGAAGTTTCTTAGAAATTAA